AGGATGAAGCAAAGGTGTGAGGAATGGGATAACCATCCTGCAAGTTTCTTGTGGGTCTCCACTTGTCTATATACTAATAGCCAAGGGTCCCCTCTGTGTAAGGATACTTATTTCTGCAGATCTGGAGCACATGGAGGGTAAAGAGGTTTTTCTGCACACCTGGGGTACTTCCCAGGGTTGCAGAAAAATACAAAAAGTTTTTAAAAATACACAGGGAGTTAAAACCCTCCAAATTTAAAAAAAAAACCCAAGTTGTCTACACTTGCGCAGTCTGGACTCATGGTCCCCTCAAGCCAGACTCAGAGATTCGCTTGGCAGCCAGCCTCCCGCAGCCAGCAAGATGGCCCTGAAGCCGTGGGGCAGGCGCGACCTGCCTCCTCACAGCCAGCAAGATGGCCTTGGAGCCACGGGGCAGGGGACGCCGCCGCCAGGTCTCTCCCAGGCGAGTGGCCTCCCAACAGCCAGCAACATGGCCCTGGAGCCACGGGGCAGGGGATGCCACCACCGGATGCCTTCCAGGTGAGCCACCTCCCCACTGCCAGAAAAACAAGGATAAAGCTGCAGAAAGGGAGGCAGAATAGGTGGAGATTGTGGGGGGGGGGAGAGAGAAATACGGGAGAGAAAGAGAGGGACAGAGTAAGAAGGGGTAGAGAAAAGAGAACATTGTCTGAGATCTGAGAAGGGCTGGGTTAAGAGAGGGGTGAGACATACAAGGGGTGAGAGGAGAAAGGGGGTAAGAAAGGATTCCTAGAGAAGAGGGTAGGGAGGAAAGCTGACCTAGAAGGGGTGAGAGGAGAAGGGGAGGTGAGGGAAGATTGATAGATAAGGGGTGGGTGCAGAAAGACAGGAGGGAACTTCGACAGAGAAGGGGGGAGAGGGAAGCACAGGTGGGGGAAATGCCCTGTCCTCACAAGTTTCTTGCGGGTCTCCCCTTGTATTTGTATATTTGTCACTAAAGCGAATAATTCTCTTGTGCTCTCTCAGTGAAAGGAAATGAGCGGCAATATCTCCAGGGCCTTTGCAATACTCAGGGAAGTGGGAACATAAACTGTGTTTAGGACTGGATAGTCTAATGGCACCTTTAAGACCAACAAAGTTTAATTCTGGGTACACAAAAGCTTATACCCAAAATTAAACTCCGTTGGTCTTCAAGGCACCACTGGACTCAAACTTGTTTTATTGCTTCAGACCAATATGGCTACCCACCTGAATCTAAGACTGGCGTGTTTGTCTAACCTGCTTTATATCAGCATGATAATAATACTATAAACATTGTAAAGCAGTTTGCCATGACAAATGCCACTAAATAGCTATGATTCATGTACAAAATTATATTGTATACATTACCAGGTGGATGCTCATATGAATTTCCAAGGGCAGGTGTAGAGCCAAATACAACATCAAATGGGCCCCATTCCTCGATCTAAAAAAATATCACAAAGCATTTTCAATAGATGGATTGGAGGAGGAGCACCTTTCATGCTGTGGTTTTTCATGCAGTTTGTTTTACTGACATTCAGATGAGCAATAGAACTTCTACCACTTCCTTATCTATATATCTAGTAGCCAAGGACCCATTATGCGTACGGATACTTATTTCTTGCGATTGGGGGCACATGGAGGCTCAACAGAAATTCCTGCACATTTGGGGCACTCCCCTGGTGTGCAGAAAAATCTGGCATGTTTAAAAATATATACGAGGGATACTTAAATCTCCCCAAAAGTAAAATGACGTTCTCTACGTATGCGCAGAGAACGTACTTACTGATCCACCCAAGGGAAGCTATGCTGCTGCCTGCACTGCAGGTATGACTGCTGGGAAGAGCCGTTGGTGCCACGAGGACACGCCAGGCACAGATCATCCCAGGGGAGAAGCCTCGGTGGCCCAGTGGCAAGGAGCCAGACAGGGCTCCCTGCCATTGTCACAGGGGGGAAGCTTCGGTGGGCCCGCTGTCTAGCCTGGGTGGGAAAGGAAGGATGGGGGAGGGTAGCGGCAGCAGTGAGGCCAGAAGCTGCATAGGGTCCATCCAGGATCTGTGGTTTTTTAGGGGGGGAAGGTTGTGTGCAGGATCTATTTTGGGGGGGCAGGCTGCTGGGTCACCTGGATGGGAAGGGAAGGATCAGGAAGGTCCAGGGGGCTTCATCCCTTCCTCTCTCCCCATCTATTTGCTTTCCCCCTTTTCTTTTCATTTCTTCTTTCCATTTTTTCTTTCCATTTCTTTCTTACATTAATTCATTCATTCAATTCTGTCTCTCTCTCTCTGCAGGGGCTTGGCATGTGCCACTGTATGTTCTAGAGGCTGGATAGGCAAGTGTGGTGGGAAGTTCCAAGACAATCTTTTGAAACTGGGAGCTGTCCATTATTGCTGAGTCTAGCCTCAAATTTTAGGAATAGAAGAGGTGTTTTGTATGTTTGTAAACTGAAACTCAACACATTGTGCAACATTTTGTTGCGGGTCCCCTCTTGTCATCAACTAATGCTGAAGCTGCTGAATGGCTACCACGCTGTCATTAACTGTTCTAGCTAGCTCAGTATCAGTATCTTGTGAAAGCTCATGTGACTAAGCAATTGTCAGCAGCCAGTAGCATCATGTAGCTTGACCACGGAGTGTCAGTTTGAGCAAAAGTAATTCTGAATGCACACCACGCTATTATGAGCCTAAGGCTGGAATCCTGTGACCACTGACTTCTTGGTAGAACTTTCAGAGCAACATGTAAAGCACATAATGCAGAATACATGGTTGCCAGAAATCCCTCAAAGAGTTCAAATTTAGGCAATATGCTGCCATCTGCTACAGAAGAAAAGGTAGTGAAGAGAGTTGATGGCATAGTTTATGGGCACTACTGTAATGGCTTGCTTGTACTCAAACCCAATAAGAAATGTAGTTGAAAGTATTTTGGGGAAGTTAAAGCTCATGTGCTGGCATTTTGGTGCTGACTATTCCCGCATCTATTCATCACTGGGAAAAAGAAGCATACATGTTGGAAGGCCATGAGGAGTTATGAGGTAGGGAATAAATATTTGAGAAATTCCCTCAGATTCAAATCTTCCCCTCCTGGATACTATAAGATCTTAAGGTCTTGGGCAGGCCTATTTTTCCATCTCCTTTTTCTTTTATTTTTTAAAGGATTCTCAATGGCGTTCAACATTTCCTGCCTTTTGGAAGGCAACAGGCACGCTCAGTCTTCATCAGGTGACTGGGGTGGGGGTCATCTTGTGCTTTAATGTACCATCACATGAATATGTATACCTGAAGAGTCTTTCAAGTATGCCGAAGCCCCTACTTAGCTGTCATCCCGAAAGGCATTCTCTACTTAGAGGGAATGATGATGATATTCAAGAGCTGTTATTCAACCACTGAAGCTGAACAAAAGGATGACAGGGACATCAGTGGTCAAGAGACCACTCAGTGGAAAAAACACTATTCCTGATTGAATTAGAGATCCTGAGAATGTGCTTTGAGCTCTCTTTGTTTGACTGTAGGATATGAACAAATGTAGTGTCAAAATACAACACTGGGTTTCACCTTTGGCATCACAACTTACTTCCCACTGCCCCTTGGCCAAGAAAAAGATACTGTACCTAAGCCAGGCTGCATCCTTCGTGGCACATTTTCATTTTTTGAGGTACCAGTGGAGCAGAGAGGAGGCAGGAGACCCATCCCTCAAGCGGTGAAAAGAAATGCCCTGAAGCCATGCACTTCTCTTTACCACTTGCTCACCTGCCCCCTCCTGCTATTGGGAATAATATCTTATTGATGGATACCTGAAATGGTTTCCACAATAGGCCACACACCCCACACCCCCGCAGACCATTTCAGGTCAGAAAAATGTTGTGGGGAAGATAGCTAAAGCATGTTCTTCATGCATACCACAGCTGTGATATGACTTGGGCACTGCACATCTGATAACTGATGAGAACCTGCAAATCACACATGACTATTACACAGGATCCTGTGTCAAACTCAGAACCTCATTTGCCCTGTATTTTCTGTATTTTCCTGTATCTTGCTGTGGAGGGTAGTGTGCAGGGTGTGTGTGCAGGGTGTGTGTGTGTATGAAAGCCCTTCACTTAGGTGCTAGGCAACTATTTTTAAAGGAGCCTCCCATCCAGGAAGAATTCTCAATGACATTGGACACTGTCTTGGCTACCTCCCTTGTTGTAGATAATATAGTGTCTGTTGGCAGGTGGGGGGAAGGAGAGCTAACAGTGCACGCTTCTTTTAGGCGGGATGTGTGAACAGAATGATTGGACGGGACACTGGGGTGGGGGCTTGTTTAAATCATGTATAACTGGTTTTGGCGCCAATTGGATTAGAGTTTTTTTCTTTTTTTGCCCCCTGAAGGGATTTTTTATTGCTTTTCTAATAAACAACAAAGAAGTAGGGGAGGGTGTCTATAAACTATGGGAGAAAGGAAAGAAAACCACTAAAAGACCAAGAGATGGAAGCCATCATAAAAGCTTCTATAAAAGATTAATATAAATTAGTAATTATCTTAAGGATTACATTTCATGTGATCTATGTAGATATGCTTGTCTTATTAAAATTAAAATGTCTGTTCAAAAATAATCGCAAAAAGATTGTTAGTAGCTGTTATGGCAAATTTCAGAGTCCTTCAGCATCACTTCTTCCCTCTTCTGTTCCTCAACTGATAGTCTCTTTTGGGGGCAGCTGCCTCCAGTTGTGAATCTGAGTCCTCTTCAGGAGTTGAAGAGCCTTGATCATTCCCACTTCCTTCAGCGCTGTCATCATCTTCTTTGCCGTCCTCTTCTGTAGAGCCAAGTTGCTGCTTCAGGAACTCTTGTGCTTTAGAGATGGTGTTGATTCTTATTTTCTTCTCGTTTATCTTAAACATGATGCCTTCCGGCACATGCCACCTGTAGCCAATGTTGTTTGTTTGTAGAAACCTTGCCAAGTCCTTGAAGTTTTTTATTTTCTTCCTAATTTCAAACGGAATGTCTTTTAGAACTTTTATTTCCTTGCCATCGATTCTTAGGAGTGTTCCTTTTTTTTTTTTTTTTTGGTAAAAAAATTTTTTTTTTTTCAGGAATACTAATTATATAAAATTAAATCATTTCGTTCTATCAATTGTCTACCCCATTCCCAGTTCCTCCCCTCCCTCCTATGGCTTCCCACAATGCTTCCACCCCTGCTCCAAATTACTTCATATCATCAACAATATCAGTTTCTTATCATTACAATCTAAAGATAACATCATTTGACTTAATATTGATCTAAACATATTAATTTTTGTTTCACATCCCAGTTCTTTTCCAGATATATTTTAAAGTCACTCCATTCTTGAAAAAACACGTCGTCTTCTTTGTTATTCAACTTCTTCATAATTTTGTCCATCTCTGCCATGAACAGAACTTTTTGTATCCAGTCTTCAATTTCTGGCACTTTCTCTGTTTTCCAAAATTGTGCATAAATCATTCTCGCTGTTGTGATTAAGTACCAGAGTAAGGTCTTTTTAGTTGTATTGACTTCCTCCATTTTCAATCTTAAAAGCAGAATGATTCTTAGGAGTGTTCCTGATGTTGCTTTTAGGATTAAATCCCTCACATGTCTTTTGGAGAATCTGACCACTATCTCCCCTGGCAGATTTTTCTTCTTTATATATTCTGGATATGATCTATAGACCACATCCATTTCGCTTAGAATATAAACCGCTTTTAAATCTGCAATCGGGTCCAAGGCATCACTCAAAACCTGTTCCAGATTTTCCCCTTCCATTTCTGGAAGCCCTTGGAATCTTAGGACAAAGGTGGCTTTTTCCGTTTGTAATTGTAAAAGCTGCGATTCTTCAGACATTGCTTTCTTTCCCAACACTCGTATGTGCTTTTTAATCTTTTTAGTTTTGGCATCCATCTCTTTCATTGTCTCCACAGTCTGGTCTGTCTTTTTATTTATTTCACTTAGCTGGAGTTACTGGGCTGCAAAGCTCTGATTCAATGTAGAAAGCTGCTGATCGATATTTGTCATTTGGTCCAGCAGAGGGCACAAAGAGTTTACTAACATCTTTGACATCTCTATGGAAGTCTCAGATCGCGAGACCATGCCAGCTGGACTCAGACTTCCTGAAGAAAGTTTTGCTTTAGCTTATCTTTCTCCAGTCTTTTGCCTGCCATCTTTGGGGTTGTTTACTTTTGAAATAATTTGCTGAAAGTCTCTAAAGTTTGCTCAAATGCTTTTCAACTTTTGCAACTTTCTTTGAACAGTTTCTCCTTTGCAGTGCAACCTCACCCCCTTTTTTTCTTGGACTTTTCTTTGCATTTGGGGAGTTTCCTCCCCCACTCGCTTGTATCTCAGGGGAAGGGGCTTTCTGCTTTCTCAATGTTTACGCTTGAACAAAACTCACAGTCAATGTCAGTCCACGGATCCATCTCCGTCTTTAGACTGTGCTAGAGGTATGTGTGTGTGCTCGGCTTCCACGTGCTTGTCCCGGCCAGTGGCTCAAGTCCCATTGTGGGCGCACAGCAGTGGGACCATCGGGGTAGAAGGGCGCCTCGATTCTCGGGCAGCGTGCCAGAGAAGAGGCGACCCTTTAGCGCTCCATGGCTAGAAACTCATCACAAGAGTCCCTGAGGGGCATGTACGATCATGCCCCCTCCCTATTACTGGCATATGGATTGCATCCCGGGAGCTCACCGGGGAAGCGTCTGCCATTAAGTCACCAAAACCCGGAAGTCCCGATTGAATTAGTTCTGACACAAGTGGTCACAACTTGACACAGGCACATATTTCAATAAACAAATCACTTTCCAGTGAGTGTTGTTGGAGATACTTTTGTTCAAGAGTCTGACATCCTGGACCCAACCTGAGTACTCCATAATGTGTGATCAGCATATTCTCCAGTAGAAGGATGGGGAAGAGGTAATAGTAACAGAGCGGCCAGTCACTGTAGCATATATCCATGTTGGATTTGCTTATATACTCAAATTACATATAAAGACTGACTCATTTCTAGACATTTTGCAATTTTCTTCTCCATCTCCTCCATAGGTCATCTGGATAAAAATGGCTTACACATTTCCCTTTCTATCTCCACAACAAAACAGTCTTGCAACTTACTTTTTTTAAAAGATAGCTGGGAATTCAGAGTGGGGCATGATATATTCTGAGGGAATATCACCCTGAGGTGTTCCCTGTAGGTACAGGCCAACTTTTAATGTAGAGTTTGTCTGGAGTTAGTTACTTTTAACAGCATCTCCACTAGTTCTTAGAGATTCCCCAATTGCAGTTAACCAGGTTCTCATAGAAGAGGGAATGACTCTTAAACTGGCTTACATGTAGTGTAGATAGTATCTAAAGCAGACTTCCTGTACATTACTTAAAGTATGTACCTCTTTCCCAAAAAAAAAAATCTCCAGCAACAGGACTATATAGACCCCTCCCTCCATCTCAAATAGCTTGTCCCAGTTCTGATATGCTCATGTATTTAATGTATATTTTTCATAATTTTCAGGGCAAATCTGTCCTACTGCAGTTCACATCTATTTGATCTTGTCTCTTCCTAAATATTGCTCATTGGTCCCCACCCAAAATGTTCTCAGCTCTTCTCCAATCTTCCCTGGAACAAGGATGACTACTTTTTTTTAAAGCAGTTTTTCCAGTCTTCAGTTTTTTCTAGCCCACGTAAAGATTTACTGGTTGTCAATGCAGCCAGTTCACATGCAAACACATTATAAGAAACTTTCACTGAAACTTTATGTTGCATCACCTGTCAAATATGTGCCAACAGCACAATATCAAGAACACAATGCAGCAAAACATGCAGAGCACTACAGCAAAATCAACTGAATTTAAGTTAGTTGCAGCGAAATCCTTTCATTGCTTTCAGAACTTCTTAGAACTTAGTTGTTAGTGACGTGTGCCTAGAAGGGACACTCTGTGATAGAGTAGCTGGACTAGAATGAGGAAACCTAACCCTATTTGGCCATGAGGCTCACTGGGTAGTCTTTGGCCATTCATGCTTCTCCATTGTAACTGATCTCTCAGGTTGGTTGTAAGGATAAAAAGGAGAAGTGAGAACTATGTATGCTTTAAAAGGGAGATACAAATATGATAAAGAAGCCATGAAAATCTCCAAGCATCCCCCCCATATAATTTTTTCATAAATACTGAAGTTTCCTGTGAGATTACTGTTTATCACACTGATCCACAGAACAATGAAAGTAATGAAAAAAGAACTGGCCACAGTTATCTACATTTCTGCCTCATTAAAATGAATAAGGTTTAAGTGCATATAATTCTGTGAGATAATGACCACTGACTTTAGTGGGCATTTCAAACCCATTAAATATCTCACTAGTAATCAAGTTACTTAAATGTCCACTGTATTTCCACACACTCCAGCACAGAAATAAGTAGCCATAAAGTCCATTGAAGCTAGTGGGTTTAAACTTGGGTTAACCCTGTATTAGACAATGGCTAGCATCTATTGGTCCCCTCCGCAACCCAGCCAAGGTTTAAGGAATATGTCTCTGTCTACCCTGAATTTATAAAAAACCTATCATGCATTTTAAGAAGAGATTGGATTTAAGAGCCATTCTCTGATGGGAGGAAAATTTGATTTCCCTAACCCTACAGTAACCAGCAGTTATTTTATTTGAAGAACAAAACATACATACTTAGAAAGTACAAGTTAGAAAAAATGTGATTTAGTAACTTGTACTTACATGAGTTCTCACCACATCTGTGACATCATGCAGATACTTTACCCTTCCATTGCCCGTACTTTTCCCCAGAAACCCAAAGCATTTCAGTTCTGGAGAATAAAAACAAGAAATATGGAATTGCAGTCAGAGCCAAATATAGCAGTTCCATGAGAACATGCCTGTTGAATGATGATCTTTGGCTCATGAGTTATCCGTACTGAAAGATTCCCAAGATATTCTTGCAAAAAACTGGAGTTGCCAAGAGATCACATATCTCAACAGTTGCAATTTCTGGTGGGAGTTGTTGGAAACGCTGCTCAGAAGCAAAGATCAGCCATTTCAAACAAATTTACATGAAGCCATTATTCCTCAGACTTAAATGGAATGGCTGGTCGACTAATTAGCACTGAGTGACTGAGCAACGTTTCCTGTTTTTAATACAGGATCTGAAAATAATGCTTCTTGAGTCTGGGAAGGACATCAAGTGTGTTGACTATTCATAGTGGCTGGGCTACCCCCAGAGAGTTTAAGTGGCACAACAGCCACATTACTAGATGTACCACAGAATGTTTGGGCCAGAATGTTAATCTGGTGTGTTTTGTAGATACAAGCTGAACCCCTAAGAACACTTTCCTGGGAGTAAACTCCATTAATTAAAATGGGCCTCCTGAGCAGACCTGTTTAGGATTGTTCTTACAGTCTATAAACACAGTGATACTGTCAGAGAAGGATTAGCTGTAATGTTGCTCAAATCTGGCTATTTCTCTTTGGCCAGGCATCTGCCTGCCTCACATTTCTAAACTGTTCTTTAATTTCAAGATTTCTTAAAAATAATCTCACAATTGATGAATTGTGAAGTTTGCATAATCTTATATAAGGAAGAGTATAATCAAAAGTGAAGCATTTCAATGCAAGTGTTAAGCACTAATCTCACAATTGATGAATTGTGAAGTTTGGATAATCTTATATAAGAAAGAGTATAATCAAAAGTGAAGCATTTAAAGTCCCATTTATTCCAATGCAAGTGTTAAGCACCTATTAAAGTTTGAGTGGATTGTGGACACTTTTAAACAGAAATTGCTATGAAATACTTTAAGAATAAGCAAAATGTAATGTTTAAAAAAATCTTCAGATTCCAATAAGACACTTAAAGCATTGAACTATTGTAGAAAAGATTATATTTCTCTTTGCTAGTTAAATATATTACTGCCATGATATGTTTTAGTTGACCCAAACCAGCTCATAACATAATCTACCTTACTGCCTCCATTGGTCTGAAAAGAATCAGAAGTGGAACATCCACTCACCTATTTGCCGCCTCCCACATAATGTCACGGAATCCAGACCACAGCATGGCACAGAAAGGGCCTCTGCTATACAAATAGCTCTGAAGTGGAACATCCACTCACCTATTTGCCCCCTCCCACATAATGTCACAGAATCCAGACCACAGCATGGCACAGCAGATGCTCTACAGAAAGGGCCTCTGCTATATAAATAGCTCTGGATGACCCATGCAAGTGAGCCAAGCCACAGACTAGCATGGAAGCTGAAATATATCAAAACATGCAAGCTCAATTTCCCAGTTACACTTACCCTGAGTAATATTATCAAAAAGGGAGAGCACATTAATTGATTTTCTTTCCCATGGAGATAAAGGCTGGTATATCCAGAGATTCTGACACAATTGGAAAAAAAGGCATATTTTGCATAAGATATTTGCTTGTCAAATTTGGACACTATTAACTGCATTAATTTTTAATAGCTCATTATTCCACTAGTTACACATTAATGAACTCTAGAAGCCTTTCCCCGCCTCCATGAATGGATACAATCATACTGGACACTTCCCAGGTCTCTATCAACCCCCTTGCCCCTACTTTAGGAAATAGGGATGACAGTGGTATGATTAAGACAGATATTTTGACTAACCTCTCACCATGCAAAACTGAATATAGTGAAGCAACTACTGTTTTTTGTATACTGAGCTCTAATTCTCCCTGGTCAATGGGTGTGCAGGATTCCTGGTGACTGATGTCCATCTGGGTGCATCTTTTATGTCCTTTCCCCTCACGGGACAAATAAGAACGGAGGCAGGGCAATTTGAATAAGGAAGATTCACCCTCCCCCTGTGCCTGAGCCCTGATTTGGATTAACCTTCCCTTATAAATTTTATTTTTTTTTAGGATTTAGTGGAAGCATTGTGGATCCTGGTTGCAAATCTCTAGTAGTAGATGGTTTAACACCAAAGAAACTCAACATGTTAAGTATCGATTTTGCAAATGACCATGTGGAAGTATCATTTTGCTGGATGAACTTTGCTGCCATCTGGTGGAAACAGACCTTATTTTTCACCTTTGTCCAAAAGATTTCTACATAGAAGGGTATGTTATTTGCTGCTAGAACTGTGTGTGTGTGAATTTTTCTCCTTGTCTAAATGACACCTCTGTCAGAAAGCAGAATATTATTCTGAGCTCTACATCCTACACCAAAATTTACTCCGTTAATTCAAAGATAAGAAATCCTTGCATCTGTAGAAGTGTAACTGAATGTTCCCTTACTGATTCCCGATCATAGAAGAACTTCAGTTGTGTACGCCAGTTTGTCCTCTTCTTCAGAACTCCATGGACATGAAAAGGCAAACACAAAAAACAAATCCATGGACTAATTTTTCTGACTTCCTCTGCTGTTCCTTGTCCAACAAGTTCGTCTAAACACTTTGTGCAATACGATCTGAAAATATTAAAAATGAAAGTCTTAGAAGGTGTGAACTACTTTCTTTTAACACTTTCTTTGAACACTTCAAAATTCACAACAGATGCAAATAATTATTCTGCTGTTTCACAATGTACCTTAATTTTGGGATAGCTTAGACATTACATCAAAAGGTAGTGGGGCTTCAAGTGCAATACCCAAAGTATGAACTTATGCATCCTCTCCCACCTTGAAAGGTTCACATTTCCCTCTCAAGATAAGAACTGATAGGGGAGATATGCAAGTTCCTACTTTGGATGATATACCAGAAATGTACAAAAGATAAGTTTCCTCTCAGTTTTTCCCCCTTGCCTGAATATTCCCTTTTCAGGCTTCAACTGAAGCAAAACTCAGGTAGATTAAAAAGTCATTAATATTTAGGGTTGCCATCTCTGGGTTGGGACATTCCTCAAGATTTAGGGTGTGGGGCCTGAGGAAAGCGTGACTTGAGGAGAGGAAGGAGCTTAGTGAGGTAAAATTCCATACAGTCTACCCTCCACAGCAGCTTTTCATCCAGGGGAACTGATCTCTTTCAGTTGTAATTCTGGGAGATCTCCAGGCCCCACCTGGAGGTTCAAGTAACGAATAAATATACACTGCAAGAAACTTGTAAATAAATGTGTCCTGTTTATAACTATCATTCTATAAAGTGCATTGTGTGCTATTTATAACATCCTAGTCAGGTATATATATTCAGTACATTCAATATAACAATAACATTCAGTTCATTCAATTTAACAACTACCAATCAATTTTGTATCAGTATTAAGAACATAAGAACATAAGAGAAGCCAATGTTGGATCAGGCCAAAGGCCCATCCAGTCCAACACTCTGTCACACAGTGGCCAAAAATACCAGGTGCCATCAGGAGGTCCAGCAGTGGGGCCAGGACACTAGAAGCCCTCCCACTGTTGCCCCCACCCAAGCACCAAGAATACAGAGCATCACTTGCCCCAGCCCTATACCTTGTGGCTAATAGCCACTGATGGACTTCTGCTTCATATGCTTATCTAATTCCCTCTTGAAGCTGCCCATGCTTGTAGCCACCACCACCTCCTGTGGCAGTGAAGTCAAGTCAAATACTGATGCAAAATTGACTGGTAGTTGTTAAATAAAATGAACTGAATGTTATTGTTATATGGAATGTACTGAATATATATACCTGACTAGGATGTTATAAATAGCACACAATGCACTTTATCGAATGACTAGGAATAAGGCCCATTGTGGAAATAAATTTTTTTTTAGGATTTAGTGGAAGCATTGTGGATTCTGGTAGCAAATCTCTAGTAGTAGATGGTTAACACCAAAAAACCTCAACATGTTAAGTATCATTTTTGCAAATGACCATGTGGAAGTATCATTTTGAGGAATGAACTTTGCTGCCATCTGGTGGAAACAGCTTTTTTTTCACCTTTGTCCAAAAGATTTCTACATAGAAGGGTATGTTATTTGCCGCTAGAACCACGGAGCGTGTGTGTGAATTTTTCTCCTTTGTCAGAAAGCAGAATATTATTCTGAGCTGTGCATCCTACACCAAAATTTACTCAGTTAATTCAAAGATAAGAAATCCTTGCATCTGTAGAAGTGTAACTGAATGCTCCCTTACCGATTCCTGATCATAGAAGAACTTCAATTCTGTACGCCAGTTTGTCCTCTTCTTCAGAACTCCATGGACATGAAAAGGCAAACACAAAAAACAAATCCATGGACTAATTTTTCTGACTTCCTCTGCTGTTCCTTGTCCAACAAGTTCATTCAAACATTTTGTACAAAAAGATCTGAAAACATTAAAAACGAAAGTCTTAGAAGGTATGAACTACTTTCTTTTAACACTTCAAAAATTCACAACAGATGCAAATAATTATTCTGCTGTTTCACAATGTACTTTAATTTTGGGATAGCTTAGACATTACATCAAAAGGGAGTGGGGCTTCAAGTGCAATACCCAAAGTAGGAACTTATGCATCCTCTCCCACCTTGAAAGGTCCACATTTCCCTCACAAGAGAAGAACTGATAGGGGAGACATGCAAATTCCTACTTTGGATGATATATCAGAAATGTATGAAAGATAAGTTTCCTCTCAGTTTTTTCCCCTTGCCTGAATATTCCCTTTCAGGCTTCAACTGAAGCAAAACTGAGGTAGATTCTTTAATATTTAGGGTTGCCATCTCTGGGTTGGAAAATTCCTCAAGATTTAGGGTGTGGGGCCTGAGGAAAGCTTGGCTTGAGGAGAGGAAGGAGCTTAGTGAGGTAAAATTCCATACAGTCCACCCTCCACAGCAGCTTTTTATCCAGGGGAACTGATCTCTTTCATCTGGAGATCAGTTGTAATTCTTGGAGAGCTCCAGTCCCCACCTGGAGGTTGACAACCCAATGCATGGTCAGATGGACAGCTCTCTATAGGTTTAATAGTGTTCGATGCTGTTCCCCACTGCTGCAACACAGTAAAACTTAGAACACTACAAGGGGCAGGACCCGCGATACTCGCGGGTGGGGGGGAGCTCCACACCTATGAGGAAGAGGAGGAAGCAGCAGGAGGAGGTAAGTTCCCCCACAGCATGGAATCTTGCCACCCCAAAACAGGATTATTATATAGGAGAGATAGTTATAAACAGAACACATTAATTTACAAAAGTTTCTTGCAGTGTATATTAATTCGTTACTTGACTCTCCTAACACTGCAGCTCGGGTTGCCCAACCTGGAGGTTGGAAACCCTATGCATGGTGAGATGGACAACTCTCTATAGATTTAATGGTTGATCCTGCCCCACTGCTGCAATACAGTAACACTTAGAACTCTGTAGTAAGGCCAGCTGGTACAGTTCAAAGCTTATCTCCCAGGGCTAGATTGCCAACTTTTAAAAAACTTGCCCTACTCCCATGTCTTCTATGAATATCCTACCTCTTGGGCTCAAACTGTCAGCCTATACAGATTGCTGTCAAGATCACAGCAAGTCAGGATGTTTAGATCAGGACAATCTTATTTGACAGCTGAGTGATCATGTGACTCAGGATTGCATCATTTCTTTAGGTGTCACTGTGACTCAGCAAATGTACAGAACTGTATCCTGATTGGTCTAAACTTGTATATAATGTAACCAGTTCTTGGTGACTGCCTGCCTATTTGGTTACAGCTGTTCTGCGTAGCACTTTGATGGTTGGAGTCCTGAATTGCTACAAACTGTATATAATCTCTGTAAATAAATTGTATATACTTTGTAAAAACAACAGAGTGCTCTGCTACTTTTTCGGCTTCAAACACCGTCACAAACTTGATAGTGCCTAGCCCTCGTATTTTTGTACATACCTTATGCACCCTGGATCATCACACATTACTAGTGATTCACCCAGGCAGCAAATTGCACAGTCAGCCTCATACCCGTCATCATCACAGAGGAAGAATTTTTCTAAAAATCGCTCCTAGAAACAAACAGACAAACAAACAAACAAAGAAAGAAAGAAAGAAAGAAAGAAATCATATTTAGTTGCTAATCTCCAAACAAAATTAACATTTTGTAAAATAAATAAATAAAACGTCGTGCGTTGTTGCCTTTGAACAAGTCATTCACAGAATTACTTAAATCAGCTCTGGACTGGGTACAATGCTAGTAAAATTTATTTCTAGTGGGCCCTGGGCAGCACTTGAACAGGCGGACCACCAAGGAAGTCCAGGGTTGCTAGATAAAGGCAGGCAATGGCAAACGATCTCTGAATGTCTCTTGCCTTGAAAACCCTATGAGGTCATCATAAGTTGGCAGCAGCTTGATGGCAATTTACACACACAGAACAACACTGCACTGTATACATGCACAGAACAACACTATAAATGAACTTCAACATTTCAGCATCGAAGACCATGGCATAATTTTATTATCCAATCCAAACTTTCTTATTTATTGCATTATTGTTCTCCAGACAAAATTTACATTTTGTCATTTAAATACAGCATTAAAAAAAATTGTTTGAAGGCTCGAGACAATAAAATTAATTCCCACATGCTGTGGCAGAACCTGACTTTGAGACTTTGACTATTGGCAACTCTTTTTATGTCAGTTAAGCATTGATCAAAAATAGGAATGATTGGAGCATAAATTTATGACAGAAAATCAGAATATCAATATTTTAAACAAATACATAAGTAGAGGACTGTATAGAAATATTGAATTCTATAGGCTTCATGTCTCCCTGGAATGTACCCCTGCTGTTCTCCCAGGGCTAGATTGCCAACTTTTAATAAACTTGCCCTACTCCCATGCCTTCTATGAATATTCTACCTCTTGAGCTCAAACTTGGTAGTGTCTAGCCATTGTATTTTTGGATATACCTGATGCATGCTGGATTGTCACACATCACTAGTGATTCACCCTGGCAGCAGATACAGCAATCTGCCTGGTATCCATCATCATCGCAGAGAAAGAATCTCTGCAAAAATATCTCCTACAAACGAACAAAGAAACCAGGAAATCATATTTAGTTAACAATAGTCTAGCACTGAAATGCTGTTCTCCAAACAAAATTAACATTTTGTAAAATAAATAACATTTTGTGCGTTGTTGCCTTTGAACAAGTCATTCACAGAATTACTGAAATCAGCTCTGGATTGGGAACAATGCCAGTAAAATTTCTTTCTAGTGGGCCATGGGTAGCACTTGAACAGGAGGACCACCAAGGAAGTCTAGATAAAGACAGGCAATGGCAAACTATCTCTGAATGACTTTTGCCTTGAAAACCCTATGAGGTCATCATAAGCTGGCAGCAGTTTGATGGCAATTTATACACAAAGAACAACACCACACTTTATACATACACAGAACAACAACACTATCAATGAACTTCAATATTTCAGTATCGAAGACCATGGCATAATTTTATTATCCAATCCAATCTCTGTTATTTATTGCATTATCGGTCTCCAAAAAATTTTACATTTTGTCATTTAAATACAGCATTTTAAAAATTTGTTTGAAGGCTCAATACAATAAAATTAATTCCCACATGCTGTGGCAGAACCTGACTTTGAGACTTTGACTATTGGCAACTCTTTTTATGTCAGTTATTGATCAAAAATAGGAATGATTGGAGCATAAATTGATGACAGAAAATCAGAATATCAATATTTTAAACAAATACATAAGTGGAGGACTAGAGAGCTAGACTCAAAAGATATGAAGCTGGCCCATCCACTCACCGTGCATGGAGCACAGATTCCCCCATGGAACAAAGGATGCTGGGCATGGATCTCACAACTTCCACAGCAAATGCAGATTTCTACAAGAGAGAAGAGAGTGCAATAGTATAAAGCATCTTTTCACAATACCTGTGATTAAAAGCAAATATTTTATTCATTATTCATATATTATAAATAATCACTATTGAGTATGTGCAAGAAAATGTTAAAGATCACTGCAGTTCTGTGGAAGATGTAGTTTAAATTTTGTATAACATTCCGTTTTTACATAGAGCTTCAAGAGGAGATCAAAATGTTGTCCCTCCTCAAACCATTTATCATCTATTAAATGTTGCTTTTTAATATGATCTGTAGTTTCTGAGGTCCATTTACATGCATCAGGAGAGCCCTTTGCCTTCCATTACTATAATATACAGGGGGGAAACATGTATACAAATGAGTGTAAGTACAGCTCAGTGGGCCTTTTTGGGTTTAAACTGCTTTTGGGAGGAGTGGTTGAGAACTGAGAAACAAGGAGACAAGGGGTGAAGCCTAACCCAGCTCTTTCAAAAACCCTACCCACTGTTCCCTCCTACAATTAACTCTCATAGGAGCTTCCCCCTCCCAAGTATTGTTTCTAACTGCTTAATTGACTAATTGTTATTATTCCTAATAGCAATTGAATCATCATGATAAATATCCCTCTCTCACCTTCAATATTTCTCTTTTTATTGATTACTTCATATGCAAGGTTTTCTAAAGAAAGAAAGAAAGAATAATGGCATTTTTGACATATGAGTCTTAAATCAGTTTCCATTTAAAGTGATCTATAATGCAAGTATAAAGCCTCTGGCATATTCTCTCCCACACGGACAACCTTCACAGATGTCACAATTAGCTCCAGAGAGGTTAAAAAGTTTGTTCTAGTTTTGGATACTAAAGTAGTTTAGCAGAGTGTAAAACAAATCATATTATTTTTCTATATATAAACAAGCCATCAAAAGCCACTTGTGCATCAGATAACTGGATTTTCAAGCAAAAGGGCTTTCTATGATGGTCAATTTGTATTGTTTTATTAGATCTCAGAGCCGGTTCACACAGTTCTGTGATGTGTGGGCTCCACAGGTGTTGGTGGGTGAGAACTAGTCTCTGACGCTACCAAAAGTATATCCCCCCACCCCCGTCTGTTTGGTTCAGAGCAGGAATAATTGCTCAGCTCCCCTCCACATATTTTTCCTACAGATCACACTGTTTTCCTGATTTTCGTGATCCAAAATAGCAATGAGCAAGTGTAGATAAATTGGGTGTGTGTAAAACTAAAGGGATAGTTCCTAGAACAAACACAATGTATGTTCAGGCAGAAACAATAATTACATTGGGCACTGTGAAATATCGAGGTGTGTTTAATTACTCTTGGGGGGAAATTACCTCTGTTAGGCCTCGGAGAACTTGCAAGGGTTATTTCTTTCACTGAGCTCCCTGGAGGGGAAAAAAGTCAAAACTTGATTTCTCCAGTGAAACAGCTGGGTATTTTGAGTGTGTGGATGGTGGTATGGATAGAGGCCAAAAAAAGAAAAAAGGAATGGTGAGAAAATAAAAACAAATCATGGGGTGACCTTTCAGTCTCCCAATAGATCAGACAGTTCCTTTTTTATATACCAAATGTGTTGCAGGGAACTACAGGCCGAACTACAGATGTCACTGAGAAATCTAGGAATAGATCCCCCCCCCAGTTTAACACCAGCCAGTGGAGGAGGGCAATGCACACTGTGGGAGAGAGATTTATGTCATTTTCCTGGTCTTAACCCCCCCCCCCTTTGGTTTGCCCCAGGTGGGGAAATAAACAGGGACCTGTATTGTGATATAATCTTACAGGGAAAGATCCTGGCTGGCCCTGGAGGGGCCTCTAACAGCCAGGAGCAAACTGAGTCAAGCCCAGTAGCTCTCATGGCACTGCAGGAGCCACTCAGCTCAGACCAGGCCAGCAGGGCCCACGATGGGTGTGACCCTCACCCTTCACCTCTTGAGCTAAGTCAGCGGCCCTTGCTGAGCTGGCTTGTGAGCCTGCAGGGATCTCACCTCCTGCCTCACACCTAGGCCGTTTTAACTTATCAGCAGGGCCTTTTTTGTAGAAAAAGACCAGCAGGAACTCATTAGCATAACAGGCCACACTCAACAGCAGAAACTCATTAGCATATTAGGCCATGGCTGCTCCCATGGCTGCTACTAAGTAGCTACTGAATAAGACAGTCACAGATCCCCAAATGTCATGTCTAGTTTGGCCTTTACTTTCAGCACAGGTCTGTAGCCTAGGGTTACCAACCTCCAGGTAGGACTTGGAGGCCTCCTGGAATTAGAACTGATACCCAGGCAACACAGACCAGTTCCCTTGGAGAAAATGGCTGCTTTGCAGGGTGGACTCTGTAGCATTATACCCTCTGAAGTCCACTCCCAAATCTCCATGAATTTTCCAGTCCAAAGCTGGCAGCCCTACTGCGACCAAAAATTCAGGAGGTGGAGCCTAAGCTCAAAGGCAGCACTGAAAGTCAGTATTGATCAGCAAGAGCCTAAATTACCTCACTGTAGGCATATTCATGTTTACTCAAAAGTACATCTGATTGTGCTTAACATAAATTGCTCCAAAAGTATTGCAATTTAATATGCTTAAATTAAATAGACTTGATTTTACCAATCTGAAAAACAAGTGTTAACTGAATGTCCAAGTGCTTGTCTTCCAGTGCTTTACTTTCAGTGAAGGGAGGGGACAGCCTTATTTCGTCCTTGGCAATTTCAAAGAATAGTACCAATTTCTTTTATATTACTATATATAAGGGGCCAGAGAGTTTCTTTTTAAAAAATGATGCTGAACATTCAGGAAAGGGGCCTGGAATAGCTCTGAGAGGGACACGTGCATATGGACACATGTATATAGCCTTGAAGTCTCCTATGGCAGACACATTACACAGAGTTGTAGTTAAATTGTAAATTGTATTTACTTTCACCTCTGGAATGAATATGAGAAATGCAGCCTGCTTACATATAAAGGCAAGTGCTGGTGGGTTGGTCATAATGAAAGGCATTTCATGGCTTTTGCTATGGACCAGCACAGCTACCTGCTTGGGGGGGGGGGGGGGGAAAACACTTCCCACTCGGGGC